AATGATGGTCGGTTTCCTCTCTGTCTTCACTTGATAACCCTCTCTCCATATATGGTCTCCTACACAGGTGCATACCTTCCCAGAGAGTTCTTTAATGTTTCATACTCCCAAGAGTTTTCTTCAGAAGTACAATCCCCTTGAGTTTGATCATGGAGATTAATATCCTTCTTCGCTCGAGAGTAGCAAGAGATATTGACAATTTAACTAATTGGAGCTTCAGGGGGTTTTGGGGTGAGCTGTTTCTTCATATCAAAAAAAATATCATAATTTTTCTTAGTACTTGAATAAATTTTGAAAAGATTTTAATAGCATTCGCATGCACAATCTTTTCCTGGACAAGCTGCTGTTTGAACGTAGTGGTGTCCAGACTGATATGGTGGTTTGGGTTTCAGGGTGGGAAGGTTGTCTGACCCAAATCAGGACTAGCACAGCTTGCATATTTGCAGCTGAGATGCAGCCACATTATATGGTGTGTGGGTTTCAGACAGACTTGAATACTTAAACCATATAGATTTTCCCTTAAATTTGAATCTGAATATCAGAATAAACAGAAACTAAACTAATTTAACGATACAAATCTGGTATAAACAAGGATAGCTGGTTACTGTGCAAGTGGCGTGGAATGTTCAGACCATAATCTTTAAAAAAAGTTACCTGAAATTTTTTTAAAATTTTTTTCAAATTAGTGAAGTTTTTCTGCGAAGGGTGATAAAAAAAAATAGTGTTAAAGTAAATTGTAGTCATATTTGACATTCATTGAAACATAAGAAAGCTGGTCACAAACTTTTTTTTAGAAAAATGACCAGAAAAACAAAAATCAAAGAAAAAATTTTTGAAATTCATTTTTTTTTCCAAAAAATTTCGAGAAAAACTTTTTCAATTTGTTGCAGTTGTTTGTTCCCAAAATCTAATTGCTTAACGTTAAGTTTTTAAGGCCTAAATTAGACATAAATAAGCTGTTGTAAGCCTGAACGCCCGCTTTACTTGCTTGAAATCAGACGAAAAATCAAATCTACACAACGGTTTTTCTCGACAGTAAGAAGTTTAAATGTGGTTCGAATCACATTTGAAAGAATTTTAGTAATTTAAACCACTCAACCCAAACCGATGATTAATTTTGGTATCTGATTTTGCGTGGAAACAAAAGAAAAACAAAACAACAAGCCAGACCACAAAGTCCTCCCCATTTTCAATGGTCAGAACAACAAAAAAACTAAAATAACCAAATACAAGTTGCTCTCGATTTTCAAATCTTCTAAAAGTCAAAATATTGTTCTGCAATGCAAGTATCACTAAACTGAAGTTTTTGATTGAATCTTTTAAGACTGCCAAAGAAACAAACTGACCTGGATTTTGAAAAATCACAATGTTTTCAAATTATTCTTCTTTTACTGAAATACATCAGCTTACGATTGGCTCAGTGTATATCTTTTCCTGGACTAGAGTCGTTGTAGATTTAGGGGAATGCTTGCTTCAGTAGGTTTGTTCTCTTTCTCTCTCTCTCTCTCTCTCTCTCTTTCTCTCTCTCTTACTTAACGGCACGGCGAAGTTGTCCCCTGGGCACTGAATTCAGCGGGGCGACCAAGATTCAGCACAATCCCCAATTCCGAAAGTTTTATGTCTGTAGCAGTTATTCTGAACTGTACTATATTGCTTGCCCCTTTTTCTTGCTGCTGTTTTCGCTGTTCTGCTGATACCCACGATCGCAAAATGTTCTAACAGTAACTTACTTCAGATAAGTTTACATCCAAGTAGAGTTGGCTCTTAGTGGTCAGATTATAATATAATACTCTTATCGAAAGGAAAAGGTCCGCGATTCATCAAAACGACTGCTAACTTGCAATTCATAATCTTTTTATCCCAACTGAATGATTATCTACACTCTTGCTATCCTCAATAGCTCAATCAACTATCTCTCGCTCTCGAGAAATAACTAACCTAACTTATTCACTAGTACTTGGGACAATTTCTATCCTCAAAAGTGTCAAAAATTTCTTTAATTAACTGGGAAAACCAACCGTTGGCTCTCTCAGGATAACTGTTCTCTAATTAACTTTGAGAACGAATTATCAACTAACTTTGAGTACTATCTAATTGTTCTGCTTCTTTCTAAAAGTAGGCTACCTGTAACGTTCAGGTTTGTCAATTTGTCAAACTGAGTTTTAGTTATAGTTAGAGTTATCATTGTCCCCACAAGTCCTGACATTTTCTCTGGTACCCTTGCGCAAAGTCCTAACCGGAATTTCCCCTAGCGCCACTAGTTAGGAATGCCAAAAACACCCTAGATATCTTCAACCAAGTTGAGTATATTTCAAATCCAATTTCACCTCTAAGCAAAATATGTTAAGTTGACACAACTTCCGAAGCATGTTTTTTTAATTATCCCCGTTACGCTCCGGCCTCCCATTAGGGGTCAAATTATGCCAAAGAGTCAACACCGGGGAGCTAGGTAATTGTTCTTACCTTTCATATTTTTTGAGGGAGTTACATATCATGTCGCGCTCCTAATACTGTCATTTTCCTCTGATTCTACTTTTCTTAGCGTATTTGATTTTCTATTAGTATCTTCTTTGCCAATCTTAGTTGAACTCAATGTTTGCCAAGTCCGTCCACTCCTACTCAATCCTCTACTCCAATAACACAGAGTACAAGATACATGCCTTTAAATTCTGCTTCATTTTCCAAAGGATAACTTTCCCTTATTTATATTTCGGGTGACCAGCTTCAACTTTAAATGGTCGGAGCTTGGGAATACGCCGCTTTCCGGTGTTCTTCACGGGGTTTTTTATGCAAGTTTGGTCTTAAACACCCACAGGTCATTTGAACGGGAACCTTCTTTCGTTTTTGGGTGCAAGTCCCGTGGGGGTTCTGCCTATTAATTTTCATCCATATCCCATTAGTATTTTTTACAGGTAACCCATTTCAAAGGTTCATTGTCATTTATGCGGCGAAAAAGCTATTAAAAACAAAACGAGTCGCCGGAGGGGTTTCATTCACTGAGATTCTTTTGTCGCGGAACGTGCCTAGTTCTCATTATCATCATAAAATTGTTGTTATTTTGCATAAATTGCCTATTTGCTGGGAAAAGGATGTTTTTCCTAATTGCTAATAACTTCCGGTCCAAACGATGGATTTGGCTCAAACTATTACACATGATGTCTCTGGTCACTACCTATCATATCTAAAACTTTTGGCTCCTTTTGTTCAGTGGTAACCGAGAAAGTGGGATGCGGAATTTTTGCTGGGATTAGGTGGGGATGATCGGAGAGGGGACGACTATTTGCTTAGGGCATAATATTGCAAGTAGGGGTCCAGGGCGTCCCGGACTCTAGACTTAAGCCTACCTTAACTAGGTCTGCAACATACTATCTTTTGGTCCCATCTCAACTGCTAGACTATAGTTCTAGTAAGACTTTTTGCACTTCCAGGAACCGTTATATCTTGCGTCCGAATGATACGATAGTATCACTATTGGTACCGTATTATAATCTTTAACAAAACAAAGGAGGGACTAATTCTTTCACGATTCGAATAATTCTGAGATCGGTCATTTGTCTGCTTTTCTACTTGTTTTGTTGATTTGTTAATACCAAGCTACGTACTACTTTTTAATTTTCACTATACTGCATGCATTTCTTAAGCGTTTGCTTTCAGCCGAGTTTTAGGCTTGCCGAAAAAGTGTTAAAATCACCGACCCTACTGTCGCTTTTCCACCAGGGGTCTATATGGTGAATGACTTGCAGCGAAAACTTCCGAGTATAAAACGACGGGCGTAAGGACTTGTGTTTGTTTTCTTCAAAATTGAATGAATGCTCTGCAAAAACAGAATCGGTACAAACTTTTGATCAAATTCTCTCATATTAGTTTTTTTGAAAAGAATAATGGCGAAAAAGTCGAAACTAAAAACTAAAAAAATAAAACATTCGGCATGCAAAAGATCTGGAAGCCTGAATTACGAAAAGTAGATGCTGGTTAAAACACATACTGACGATGCAAAAGTGTAGTGTTCGTTGTAGTATTGAAAAAGATGATTATATATTAATATATAATCATCTTTTTCAAGAATCCAACGAACATTACACTTGTACACCGTCGCGATGTGTTTTAACCAGCGTCTACTTTTTTCTTAAATTAGTCTTCTAGATCTTTTGCATGCCGAAGGTTTTAGTTTTTAAATTGTTTTAAGCTTTCTTTTTTATTTAAATTTGAGTTAAATTTCGATAAATTGATTTGAAAAACAGACAAGTACTTTCTTTGTGATGCATTTATAATCAGTTCTAACTTCACCAAAGTTTCTGGGATAAGATGCGGTTTATTGGTTTTTAATTACTAAAGTTGTAGAAAATTTTTTTTGATTATTTGATTAAATTATTATCAAAAAATTTAAATGGAATCAAATATCTTTGATAATAATCAATTATAATCGATTAAAACTGGATATAATTACATTTAAAAATAGTAACAATTTTATTCATTTTTAATCAATTATAACTTAACTTTTTGATTTTCGGAGAGACAGACCTCAACATTTTTATCTTGTTTAGCAAAATAAAACCTTTTCATCAATCATTTTCCGAACAATCCAGCTCTTTCTGGCAATACCTCTCTGTATATGAGTTCAATTCAGTCGCAACTTTTACCCCGGGGACTACTGAGGAGAGAAAATGGGGTTGCAAAACAATCCAATAGGGTTTTCAAAAATGGGAGTATTGCTAGAGAACAACCCGAAAACAGCCATGATCAGGGCAGCATTGCCAGAAAGCGCTCAATATTTTCGGCACACAGGTCGGCAGTTATCCATGGATGTAGCGATTTTTTCAAATTTTTTCTTATTCCACGAATAGTTTTCAAGAATTCAGTTTCCGGATCCGCTGATTTTTTGGCTCAAACTTCAACTAATTTGGCATAAAATTCCCGAGAGACGTGCTTTGATAATTTTCGAAAGGTGCTATGATAAGCCGCGTTTTGGGATGAACAGATTTTGTTCAGAAACTTTGGCAAGGGATGGATTTTCCTCTAAAAATGATTATGATAAAATATACACTCAAACATTTCGTCCCCGCTTTCGAAAACCATCTTTTGAGTTTCAATCTTTATCGCAATGTAAAATACTTTCACATATATTCTCAATTCTCTATAGCATCTTGGTTTGATCAACCTCGTTTCATTTTGATCAAACTTGCATAAGTTCAAAAGTTACTTCAAACTTATCTCCGAATAACCATTGAATGATTTCAGAAAACTCTCTTTCTTGAATGTCATCTGTTTGCGTTATTGGAGCGGGAACCGCTGGCTTAGTTGCAGTTAAGACTTGCCTCGAAAATGGTCTTCAGCCTACTTGTTTTGAAACAAGCGATGAGATTGGAGGTCTGTGGTTCTATTCGGACCAACTGCGCTACAAACAAGGTTCAGCTTCTTATAAAAACCTGACCGCTAACACTCCTGCTAATTTTATGGCATTCAGTGATTACCCTTTTCCAGAAAACAGTCCAATCTTTCCATCACATGAACATGTTTGGGATTACTTGGATAGCTATGCTGAGCACTTTTCGTTAAAACAGTTCATAAATTTCAACGTCGAAGTTACCAAAGTACATTACGATTATGCAAATAAAAACTGGATTGTAGAAACCCAATATGTTGCCAAAACAGACCATGGTGACTATGAAAGAAGTCCTCGCGATGATATTGCATTCGACTATGTTATGGTGTCCACGGGAATTATGAGACGGCCATTTATTCCTCAATGGAGGGGCATGGAGTCCTTTAAGGGAGAGATTGTTCACTCAAACTTGTTCCGAGATGGATGTGATTACAGAGACCAGAGAGTGCTAGTTATCGGAGCTGGTAAGGAGATAGTTCGAAATTTTTAACCTGTTGTACTCATGGAGAATTTTATTATCAACTTTGGTGTCATCTTAGCAATTTCCACTGCGAAACAGCTATTTTTGTCATGAAATATGACTGAAGATACAGTTTTTAGAGCAAAACGTCAAAAAAGGAAACCAAAGAAAAGTTTGATGCTTACAGCTTTGCCTTTGTTTATGTTAACGCTCTATAACTATCTTTTTTTGTTGCTGCTGTTGTTTGTAAATGTTATTTTTTTGCTAGGAAACTCGGCTGGAGACATAGTGTCTGAAGTGAGCAGGTGTTGTTCTCAGGTGGTACACCTCAGCAGCAGAAAAGGTCTGTGGGTAGTCCCAAGGTCAGTCCACTTATTACATTTTTGGCCATCAAGCTTTTAGTTTAAATATCAATTTTTTCCCCGTAGTCGAGAAGTGGTGAAAGTTTCAATGAACACTAATTGTTTTTTTTTTTTCAAAATCAATCACTTTTTGTGGAATCGGCATATCGAATTCCGCGTCCAGACAATTCGGCCAAAGACAATTCAGCCGATTTGGAATTCAGACAATTCAGCCAAAATATGCAGACAATTCAGCCAGAGACAATTCAGCCAATAATAGTGACCGCCGTAGTCGCGCCAACGTGTTGCGAGCTTGCCAACAGAGGGTAGGAATCTATACGAAATTTAAAGCCGGTTAACCACCGGCGACCTTAAACCGAGAAATAACTCCGGTCTCCGGTTGAAGCTTATAAAATTTAGGAGTTTTTTCGGATTTCTTGCGTTTTATTAATTTATAATTCAGGTAAAACTTTCAGTTACGTTGCAATTAAACATCTCGTAATTTAAACTAGAATCATTTCAGATATTGGCACCCGGGCAAATGCACCTACGTTGACATTACCATGAACAGATTTGGTTACTATTTGAACAAATTCCTTCCTAAAAGTCTCCTAGAATTTTTTGGAAGGAAAATTGCAAACTCACTATTGAATCAAAACGGTTTTGGGTTTAATCCGAAGTATTCGTTTGTGGAAAGTAATGACATCATGGTTAATGATGACTTGCCACTATTGGTTGGAAACGGTCGAGTAAAATTCATCAGCGAAGGAATTGCGTTCTTCGAAGGAAACGATGTCCATTTCGCAGACGGAAAAGTTTTGAAGGACGTCGATACTGTCATTTGCGCAACTGGTTACAATTGCGATTTCAGTTTAATGGACGAAACTGTTTTCGGTGGGCCGACTTTCAGAGAGACAAAGCTGTATCAGAATGTTTGGCCAATAAAAAGTGAGCAGTATGGAGATAGTTTGGCTGTTATTGGTGCAATTTCTGCAGATGGCTCAATACAAACAATCCAAGTTAGTCTCAACTTGTAATTTATCATTTTTACAGAGTTTTTTTTGCTGTATTTGTTTATTTTTAATTAAGCCGCTTAAAATGGTTTTGAAAAACATGGCTGCTTTTTTATGAAAAGTTGTATCAAGGTAAAAAATGATCAGATACCGTTGACAGATCATTTTTTGGTATATTATCATCAAAAAGTTTTCTAGAGAGAGTACGCACTCTTTTATCAAAAATAGTATATATCGTTACAAAAAAAGTCAGGAGATAAAATGAAAGGTTGTTTGCCAAAAGAGCGTAAAAATGTAGGCATTTGGGCAATCGGAGTCGCGAGGAGACGGGGTTTGTTTTTGGGCAATATATATTATTATTTTTTTAGGAACTACAATCCAGATGGGCGGTATCAGTTTTTCTAAAACAAGCCAGACTACCTAGTGTCACTCAGATGGAAAAATGGTTTGTGAACAACAGGAGACAAAAAACTAATCAAAGCGACAGTGCACTAATGCGACATCCTTCAATCCTCTATCAGGACTTTTTAGCCCAACAGGTTGGGTGTTATCCTTCAGCGTGGAAAATTTTATTGCAATATCGCAGTTTAAGTTTGGTGTTTAAATTAACCTTTGGAGCCCATATGCCCTTTGGGTTTCGATTGGTCGGACCTCATTCGTGGCCCGGTGCCTTAGAACGGTATCAGAAGCATCACAAAGCTGTTTCATTTATGAACTATTGACAAAAATTAACATTAACTTTGCATTTGTTCTTCACAGTAGTAATCTAGGAGATTTGAGATTTCTTCAAATAGGCGAGACTTCCAGTCTTAAAACAAGGCTCAAATGTGTCTTCGGCAAGTTTGTTGTCACAGATAACTTTAGGCGGGCTCAGATTTAGTATGTATCAACAGTTTTGAATGTCTTGTAATAAGGATGACCCTTATCAAAATTACAGTTAAAACAAATAGCAAAATATTGTCTGATTATCAAATCTAGCCCTGTCTTATTTTCCCCTTACTTTCAAGTTCTGATGAATGATTAAAATTAATCGAGAAAATTGTCTAAAACTTTCAAAAAATTCCGAACCAAATAGTCGCTTATAGGGCATTTTATTGACTCTCTCGTACTTGCCTTAAATTTGCTCGGATCCAGTTGCTCAATTTCACTCTTCAGCCACATTGGCCAAAAACTAGTGTATTTTGATTACTTAAGCCGAAAATGTAAAATGTATCATAAATGTTTCAGTTTAGAACTTGCTTGACCGAGGAACATAGATAGAATATGCATGCTAAACATAAACTAACTCGAATAGATTTTCGACGAACAACTTGACATCCCGGGTTGACGTTCCATAGAAGAAAAATGCTTATCATACAGTTTCATATATGAAGTCAATGGAAAAAATGCTTATCATACAATTATCATGTATGAAAATTATAAAATAGTCATTTCATCATAGAAAAAATAAAATTTTCAAAAATCACCAAAAAACGTGTCTGGGTAACTTTAAATAGATTTAAATAAGTATATCTATGATAGAGGGCATATTGACAATCAAAAACATAAATTTAATTTCTGTCAGAAAAATGCTTATCATAAAGTTTTCATATATGAAAATTGTATGATATGCATTTTTTTCAAAAACAAAAAAAAATTTGAGGTTACACTGGGTTTTCTCATGACAAAAAATCCTTGGTTACTGTTTCGGTTGAAACACGAAATTTCGAAACAAAATTTTTTTGAATTTTCATTTATGAAAAAAATGCTTATCATACAATTTCAAAGTATGGAAAAAATGGTTATCATACAATTTCATATATGAAAAAAGTGTTTATTTTGCTATTTTCATACATACACTTTTACTCTATGAAATTGTATGAAAGAGTATGATAAGCATTTTTTTCATATATGAAAATTGTATGATAAGCATTTTTTGTCAACCCGGGATGCTCCGTACATACAAAATTACTTTGCTTGAATTGAAGTTTATGCAAATAAAAAAAAACGCGTACTTCAGTATAACGAAACTTTTCCATGCTAAAAACTCCTCGGCGAAGATTTTCCATGTTGCGTTTTACGGCTATTTAAAAACGAAACAAAACTGCTCGCGTATCAAATCAAAGCACTGAATATTCCGACTGTCCTTTAATTGGTTTCAAATTTTTTTCGATATATAAAAAGGTTTAAACTTATGGAATTAATACGACCGATTAACTTGCCTCAATTCAATTTGGATCAATTTCAATTCAATTTGAACATTGCCACACAAAAATTTTTGACAGTACTTTTTCAGGAGCAAGAAATTAATCGTGAATCGATCCGCCACTCAAAAAATGTTCGATTGGAAGTTGGTTTGAATAAAAAACCACCCCAAGCATATATATTCCTCCATTGGTTCTCTTCCGTTGATGCATCTCAAACACAGAAGTTGATACAAAACAACCGGGGCTTTTTCAACTCCCAATTTTGAAAAAATTGAGACAAAAGTTTGTGCTTAGGGTGGTTTTTTAAATAGCAATTTTTGCGGATTTACAACAATTGTGAGAAGTTAATTTCCAAAGCTCGTCAACTGAAAATAATTTCCGCTTGCGATCAATTGTTTTAAAATAAAAGCGGATTGAATTTTGGGCTATTTTGACCACTATTATTCAAACTGAGATAATTAACACTCACTTTTTGTCACATTAAACCGTAACGGCGAAGTAAATTACTGAATTTTGGGTTGAGGTAAGCAACTGGCACTTGATAAAACAATACCAAACGCAAGTAAATTATCATTTCGCTTTTTAAGTAGCGTTTGGGGTGTTAATATGAAAAAAAAAATAAAAACGTTTGATTGTTTTCGCACATTTTTCAACATATTTTTACCAAAAATCTTTTTATTGATGTTAAAATACAGTCAGAACATTCAAGGCTCACTCTGTTTCCAGCCGTCTTGTTGTCTTATAAAAAAGAAAACTAATTTAAAAAAACTGCCTTAAATGCACGAACTGCGTTTTTTGTAAGAAGGGGTAAATTGATAGATTTCACTGCTGCAAACTGTCTTTCTCATTCATTTGCCGTCAGCTATCCTGGTTCGAAAACTCATTTTGAACGCCTCGATCAGAAAAAAAGTTGCCTCTTTCAACCAAAATTGGATCGGTTTTGACCGTTTTTTTAAATTAAATTATTCTAGACTGAGTCTTTTGTGAATGGTTGGCAGATTCCGTAACAGGCTCTAACAGGCTGAAAACAGATTTGTAGCTGAACTGCAACATTGCTATTTTTCTTAATCTTCTTTGCTGTTTTGGATTCCACGAGCAATTATATAAAACACTAAATTGCTCAAAACTACTCCAAAAACAAGCAAATTTGCGGAATCCGGAGCAATGTTTGCGGAACCTAGAACAGTTTTCGTGATATAAAATTAAATAAAATCTCATTACATTATAGTTTACATATATGCGGAATACTTTTAGACTTGTGGAGTCCGCTTACATTAAAATATGCATTATACTTTTGCGGAATCGATGTACATTTGCAGAAGCCGCTTATAACTTTTGAAATCCCCTCACATTTGCGGAATCCGATCACAGGTTATGGAATCCGCTTACATTTGCAGAGTCCTGAACAACTAGATATATTTGCTTGTTGCAGAATCCGCGGACAAAATCATAAGTCAACGAAATTTAATTTACAGTATTTTCGTGTGGAATCCACTTACCTAGTTTGGCTTTGAAATGCTAGAACTTGCTTGATCTTAAATTTAAATAGTTAAAAAACTTTCAGCTTCAAAAACACGCACAACAAGGAAACTGCCCGCATTTGTTAGACTATCGCACCAAAATTTACCATCCATACTTTATTAGTATTCAGAAAAAAATAAATAGTCAGTTGCTGCAGAAACGCAGATATTGATCTGATTGCAAAAATTTCCAAACAGAAAAGCCCAAAAATTGAATGTGCTTTTAAAAATCATCTCAAGATTTTGGAATGTTTCGTTGCAGTGGAGAAAAAGTGTTATTGCATTACAAGGCTACATCACAGACACCCACGATCATATGTGATTCCTGAGTTTGCGTGGGAAGAAAATAATCACAAATCCTAACTTGCTACATACCTGGGTTGACTAAAAATGCTTGTCATACAATTCTCATAAATGGAAAATTTCTTGTCATATAATTCCATACATTTCCATACGTACCGAAATTTGTATGAAATCTCTATAATAAATTTTTTCCCATAAAAGGACATTGTTTGACTAACATTTTGCCATATATGGAAATTACATGGTTAAAATTTGGTCATTTATGAAAATTGTATGACAAACAGTTTTCGGAAAATTGTTTTTTCAAACAAGGCAAAAATTACAGTAAAGCCCATCTAATAAGCCGTGCAATCTCTGATTAGAGAAAACCTGAGAAAAAAAGTTTTTTTTAGAAGTTGTAACCTCAGTTTCTTAATTTTCTACGGGAAATCTTCTCAATTCTTTAAGTTGCAGCAGGGTCTTAATCTGATCTTAAGGGGGCAAAACTGGAGAGGGGGTTACCTCAATAAAAATTTTAAAAAAACCTTTATTTTTTTTAAAAAAACTTTATATCTGTGTAAACTGTCTCCGGCAAACCTCCTGCAGTTCGGTAATCACATCGTGAATTCACTAATTCTGACATCAACAAATATATTTCTTCCAAAAAAAGAACATTATGAATAATATAATTACTGTTCTTACGATAGCTATAAACAGATTGCAAAGAAATTAAAACTAAAGCAAAAATTTCTATTTTTTCGTTCTTGATTGCTTCTCCTTTACTTGGATTTGAACCGATTTGTTTTCGCATTTTGTTCTCATCTTTTGAAAAAATTGCTACCAATTCATTTGAATTTTCCAAAAACTGGTTTGCAAAAAGTTTTGAAAAAATTGTCCCTTATGGCATAAATGCTTGCCATACAATTTTCATTTATGGAAATTGTATGGTAAGCATTTAAAAAAAAAATGCTTGCCATACAATTTCTCATGTATGGTAAGGCTCTCGATGGCAAGTCAGTTTTTTCCGTTACCAGCCTGTTCTCAAAAAGCCGCAGAAAATATGTAGTTTTTAGATTCTATTGTTTTTCGAAAATGAATGAAAATTGTATGACAAGCATTTTCTCCATACACTTGATGTATGGAGTTGTATGATAACGATTTTTGTTGTATTTAATTGTATGATAAGCATTTTCGGTGTATGGAGGTCAACCCGGGTACCTTTCAAACAATGAGTTGATGCAACTGATAGAACGTTAGGCGCTCTGGCTCTGCAGCTTTTATCGGTTGAGAGAAATGTTTTTTTCCATGTTTTCTCTGATGCAAGGCGGGAGATTCATCGTCAAATATTCAGCAGATTGTTTGATTTCAAGGCCAAAAATTAAAACAACAGATTTGTTCAAGTATCTTGAATTAGTCGGAGAAACAGTACCTAATTTTCTCCAATTTGGCTAGCCCCGAAAGATGACTTCGTCTATCCAGATCGTGGGAAATCTGATGTCTGCTGAATACCTGATAACAGTCAACAACTGCCTGCCTTACTAAGCATAGAGTTCTATGAAATGAGTTCACTTGGTTGTCACCACTACTGGTGTATTCTGTTTGCGCTATTTTGAAAACGTCTTTTATCGGGCAATTGAGGAAGATGAAATTTCTTCTTTGACTAGGTTCCACTTTCCGTGTTTTTAAATGTTTCACCTCATGAAAAACCTCATGAAAAATTGGCCGACCCACCCC